TTGCTGCGGTAGAACACGAGGAAGGGGTCGGATTTTCCGAAGAAGTCCTTCTTGTCCAGCTTGTTGGCACACAGCTGCATGGTGACGATGTCCTGGGGATGGGGATCGTCATTGCTGGCTGCCTCCTGGCCCCCCAGCCCCAGTGGTCGCCCGTATCTGGGGGTCCGTGCAGCCTTGGGGACAGGGGCGCTCACCCGGCAGTTGCTCAGCTCCTCTGCCAGCAGCAAAATGGTCCCACACCGCTTCCCGGGGACCCCCCTGGGACCAGAGGCTCAGTTTAGGACAAGGAGGGCAGGAGGTGGGGTCAGGGCTGGGGCTCAGCAGCGTGGCCGGTGTCCCCAACTCCCCCCCTTGCCCTGCTGTGGGGCACAACTCACGTGAGGGCTCTCTCCAGGCGGCCCCGCTGTGACCCGATCACTTCCCCCAGCGCCACAAATGCCTGCCCCAGGAAGTCCTGTGTCCCGAGCACAGCGCCATGAGACCCGGGGGGCTCCTGCCACAGCCCCTCACCACCCACACCCCCTCCTCGTCCTCCCAGTGCACCCTCGGGACCTGCCACCTTGTGCCCCAAGAGCCACCCCTTCACCCAGGACCCATCCTGCACCCCCAGGACCATCCTAGGTGCCCACTCCACGTGCTCTGGACCCATCCTGTGCCCCTCAGGCCACCCCATAGCCCTGGACCCACCTCGTGCCCTCTTCAGAGACACCCCGCATGCCCTGGATCCATCCTGCATGCCTTAGGCCACCCTGCACCCATCCTGCATTCCCAAAACCACCCCTGTGATGTGTTCTGACCCCATCTTGCACCCCCATGGGCTGGGTTCCTAGCACAGAGTGGTTTGGTAGACACCTACCTTCTGCCATCCCCATGGGGCACAGAGAGATGGAGAGTGGGTTAGAGCCCCCCAAGGTGGGGGGCACCCATCCCACCCGACAGCACCCGCACAGGGCACAGCCTCGGGGGTGCCCCGCTGTGGTGTCACACCAGGACATCACCCCATGTCCCCCTGGCATGGGCTACGCTCACCTGCTTTAAAATGGAGCAGCTCTTGGAGTCCACGTTGTAGCTGGTGATGGGAGAGCAGAGCCCTGAGCCAGTGCCCTGGCACGCAGCCCCGCTTCCCCCACCTATCCCTGCTTTTTGCCACTGTATCCTTATTTATTATCCTTACTCAGTATCATTATTTATTATGATGGTTTATTACCAACTTGGTGCTTTGTTCTACCCCTTCTCCGGCCGCCCCACTCACACGTCAAAGCGGAGGTTTTGCTTTTCCTCGAAGTAGTAATCGAGGACGAACTTGCGGACGAAGTCGGGGTTCAAGGTGTTGTCGATCACCTCGGTGCGCCCAAACTGCAGGGAGAGGGGTAAGGGTGGCCCCCCCCCATGTCCTGGGACCCCTCCCCAGTCACAGCTGCCCCGGCACTAATCCCAATGGGGGATTAGCACAGCCGGCGGAGCCGGATCATTAGCACGGACACGGAGGGATCATTAGCGTGGACGCGGGTGGCCATATGGGCCCGTTTAACCCAGCAGGGATTAGCCGGGAGTGGGGGCACTGGGGATGGCAGCACCCCCAGCGCAGGACTGGGGCCACACTCACCTCCTTCCACTCGCTGCTCCCTGAGCCCTGCACGAAGAGGACCACCACTGCGGAGAGAGGAGCAGAGCGGGGCTGTCACGCCGTGTCGTGCCATGCTGTGCTGTGCTATGCCACGCCGTGCCATACCCTGCTCCCTGCCACCCACCTGGGTCAGATTTGGAGAAAGTGTCCATGTCCAGCAGGTTCCTGGGGGGACAGAGCCAGGCGTGAGCCACCTGGATGCCACCCACCTGGCTCCGTAGCAGGTTCCCATGTCTTCCCCTCTGATCATGGGACAGCACCGTGCCAGAAGGCCAGGCTGGCACCCAGGGCCATGCGCCCTGTCAAGCTGGGGGGACGCGCTGGCCCCCACTGCGGGGTTTGTCGGGATAGCAGAATGAACGGGGAGCTGCGTCTCCAATGCTGACGGTAATTGAACATGACAGGGAACCCATTTAGAGGATGTAACCTTCCTTCGTGCTGCCGGCACCG